TAATATCTACTCCTTTACAAAACTGGATGAATTCAGCCATAATTTCTGTGGGAGGATGAGTAGTGAACATTAAAATGGTATAAAATACCGACGGGTTGTTAGGTAAGACACATGCAACAGTTAGGTATCTTTATTTCGAAACGTTTCGCCTACACTGTAGGCTTCTTCAGTAGAGTACAGAAAAGTTGATAGAAGCAGAAGAGACTTGAAGACGATGTAATCAGTCCATCACCCTTAAAGTTTTGAGGTGGTCAGTCCCTCAGTTTGGAGAAGAGCATTGTTCCATAGTCTGAAATAGACTTTATTTCGAAACGTTTCGCCTACACAGTAGGCTTCTTCAGTCGAGTACAGAAAAGTTGATAGAAGCAGAAGAGACTTGTTCCATAGTCTGAAACAGACTATGGAACAATGCTCTTCTCCAAACTGAGGGACTGACCACCTCAAAACTTTAAGGGTGATGGACTGATTACATCGTCTTCAAGTCTCTTCTGCTTCTATCAACTTTTCTGTACTCGACTGAAGAAGCCTACTGTGTAGGCGAAACGTTTCGAAATAAAGATACCTAACTGTTGCATGTGTCTTACCTAACAGGATGAGTAGTGTATGTGACAGTCACAAAACGTAATTAAAGTTATTTAGAAAATGACGCACATACACCTGTGATTTATTGTTGCTCTTCGATGAAGCCATTGTTTATTGTTGTGATTTACAGAATATTCATTTCATAAAATAATGTTATATTGCAAATTCCAAGGTAGATAAAAAGACGAATACGCTGTTACAGCTGTTTTATGTTGATAATAGGGTATGATACAACAGGTATAGTATAAACTGCTCTCATAATGTTGAATAATGCTAAGAGATGTACAGGACAGTGCAGGACGTTACAAGACAGATGACACCAATTCAATACAACTAAAGTGTATGAACAATGGAGTAATGTACATATTTAATGTACTGTAAATTCTTTATATATAATTTAAACACTGGAAATAATACGTCCAGTGTGACTGGGAGGTACAGGAGTGGTGCTTAATGTAACACAGGTAGCATGTGCAAGAAAGGTATAAAATACCGACAATATGAAAGTTAAGACACATGTGCAACATCTGGATATCTTTATTGTAGTAGACGTTTCGCCATCCAGTGGCTTTATCAATACAGATTCTAGGACATAAAAGGAAGACAGTAGAACTATATACAAAAGATGAGGTAATCAGTCCCTCGGCCTTGGAGTTAGTGTTCACAGCATCGTGGTGGAGGAGAGTCTGGAGCAAAGGCAAGAAGACTGGCGCTTTTTATAGGCGTCAGTGAATGGGACGGGCAGCAGACGAGGGCAGTCACTGGTAGGCGGGATTCCCCAGTGGAAGTAGGTCCTTCCCAAAGAGATGGGTTAGTTGCAGCAGCCGTGAAGAAGCTTGTAGATGTCCTCTGAACCAAGATTCCATGATGTTGCAGTGTCTGACAAGTTGTGCAAGAAAGGTATAAAATACCGACAATATGAAAGTTAAGACACATGTGCAACATCTGGATATCTTTATTGTAGTAGACGTTTCGCCATCCAGTGGCTTTATCAATACAGATTCTAGGACATAAAAGGAAGACAGTAGAACTATATACAAAAGATGAGGTAATCAGTCCCTCGGCCTTGGAGTTAGTGTTCACAGCATCGTGGTGGAGGAGAGTCTGGAGCAAAGGCAAGAAGACTGGCGCTTTTTATAGGCGTCAGTGAATGGGACGGGCAGCAGACGAGGGCAGTCACTGGTAGGCGGGATTCCCCAGTGGAAGTAGTCCTTCCCAAAGAGATGGGTTAGTTGCAGCAGCCGTGAAGAAGGTCTTGTAGATGTCCTCTGAACCAAGATTCCATGATGTTGCAGTGTCTGACAAGTTGTGCAAGAAAGGTATAAAATACCGACAATATGAAAGTTAAGACACATGTTGCAACATCTGGATATCTTTATTGTAGTGAGACGTTTCGCCATCCAGTGGCTTTATCAATACAGATTCTAGGACATAAAAGGAAGACAGTAGAACTATATACAAAAGATGAGGTAATCAGTCCCTCGGCCTTGGAGTTAGTGTTCACAGCATCGTGGTGGAGGAGAGTCTGGAGCAAAGGCAAGAAGACTGGCGCTTTTTATAGGCGTCAGTGAATGGGACGGGCAGCAGACGAGGGCAGTCACTGGTAGGCGGGATTCCCCAGTGGAAGTAGGTCCTTCCCAAAGAGATGGGTTAGTTGCAGCAGCCGTGAAGAAGGTCTTGTAGATGTCCTCTGAACCAAGATTCCATGATGTTGCAGTGTCTGACAAGTTGTGCAAGAAAGGTATAAAATACCGACAATATGCAACTAACCCATCTCTTTGGGAAGGACCTACTTCCACTGGGGAATCCCGCCTACCAGTGACTGCCCTCGTCTGCTGCCCGTCCCATTCACTGACGCCTATAAAAAGCGCCAGTCTTCTTGCCTTTGCTCCAGACTCTCCTCCACCACGATGCTGTGAACACTAACTCCAAGGCCGAGGGACTGATTACCTCATCTTTTGTATATAGTTCTACTGTCTTCCTTTTATGTCCTAGAATCTGTATTGATAAAGCCACTGGATGGCGAAACGTCTACTACAATAAAGATATCCAGATGTTGCACAATGTGTCTTAACTTTCATATTGTCGGTATTTTATACCTTTCTTGCACAACTTGTCAGACACTGCAACATCATGGAATCTTGGTTCAGAGGACATCTACAAGACCTTCTTCACGGCTGCTGCAACTAACCCATCTCTTTGGGAAGACCTACTTCCACTGGGGAATCCCGCCTACCAGTGACTGCCCCTCGTCTGCTGCCCGTCCCATTCACTGACGCCTATAAAAAGCGCCAGTCTTCTTGCCTTTGCTCCAGACTCTCCTCCACCACGATGCTGTGAACACTAACTCCAAGGCCGAGGGACTGATTACCTCATCTTTTGTATATGTTCTACTGTCTTCCTTTTATGTCCTAGAATCTGTATTGATAAAGCCACTGGATGGCGAAACGTCTACTACAATAAAGATATCCAGATGTTGCACATGTGTCTTAACTTTCATATTGTCGGTATTTTATACCTTTCTTGCACAACTTGTCAGACACTGCAACATCATGGAATCTTGGTTCAGAGGACATCTACAAGACCTTCTTCACGGCTGCTGCAACTAACCCATCTCTTTGGGAAGGACCTACTTCCACTGGGAATCCCGCTACCAGTGACTGCCTCGTCTGCTGCCCGTCCCATTCACTGACGCCTATAAAAAGCGCCAGTCTTCTTGCCTTTGCTCCAGACTCTCCTCCACCACGATGCTGTGAACACTAACTCCAAGGCCGAGGGACTGATTACCTCATCTTTTGTATATAGTTCTACTGTCTTCCTTTTATGTCCTAGAATCTGTATTGATAAAGCCACTGGATGGCGAAACGTCTACTACAATAAAGATATCCAGATGTTGCACATGTGTCTTAACTTTCACACAGGTAGCATGGCCTGCGTTCCTCTCCTCGTGCATGGTATTCAGTGAACTAGTGAAGGATATAGTCCTAGAACGCTTGAGAGGTGCTGTAGCTAGCAATGGGTAATTGCCATACTATCCTAGAAACGCGGCAAGCAGACTGCGTGGGACTACAACTGTGCGTGTACATTGGATGACACCTACCTACAAACACTGAAGCCGAAGGTGTTAGTGCCTCCCGTTTCCCGGAGACTCAGTGTCAACAAATACAGTGGGCTGGTACCATGCTACATACCTTTGTCCTAACAGGATCGGAGAACTTCGGAACGTGGGGCAAATGTGCACTCTGGTTTCTAAAAGTTGGTTGACAAACACATCACAGAAACCAAGGACCCCACAGCAACCAGCTTCCTTTTCCAGACACACTGACAATCCAGGGAGGAAATGCCTATAGCATTCTGGACACACGGCCCAACCCCGGGGAGCTGGATGAAGTATTCGAGATGTAGACTCCGATGTCATGCATGTTCTCCTTCCCATTGCAGTATGGGAAGAAAATGCTCAAACACCTTCAGAAAAAAACTCCAGTTTTCCTTTTAGTACTTTTTTTTCGAGGCTGTGGGTCCCCAGTCAGTACTAGAGGTAGTATATATATAATACCAGTAAGTATAAAAAAATGAATGCATAGGGGAAATAATGTAATTTTGCTAACTTTGTAATTGAATCTGCCGGCAAGTAATTGCATCCTCAGTAATGATACCTCGCATCCCCCCCGGAGGGGGAGAAGCACCCCAGGATAACCACTGACCTGTAGGAGCTTGTTAAGCTTCCTCTTGAAGACTTTCTCTGTTAATTCTCCCTCTTCCAATTACCCTGTGCACGAACAACAAATATATTCTGATACATGTTGTTTCTCCAGCTTGTGTTTACACTCTGATTCACACTGGAACTGACCTAACTATTTTATGCACTGTTTACCAGTGAGAGCCAGAAGCTGCGAGCCACGCTGTTATGCAAGATAATGTAGGGCCAAAATTGGCTTACTCCCTGCAGACTGTCATAACAAATAGGCTTACACTCAGCTGCCTATCACCACTAGGATAATATTATTCTAACGGATGCATTCCCTTCTTTACTCTCGTCATGAAGATTTTTTATCATTATTATTGTTGATGTTGTTATTATATTATTATTTTCGAAAACAATCAGTAAACCAAGATGGGTCGTACAGCTCAAATAGAAGAGCGATTTCAATAATCATGTTTTTTCATAGAACATTAAACGGGCACTGTGTCAAGAAGATATGTGATATTTCTTTCATCTCTATTCCTAGACATGACACTTCAACTGACATACCAAACAGTGAAACATAAACCACGTCAGACTTTGTCGATATTTCTACTATAATTAATCTCCGACCTTGTCTAATACACGCAAGGTAATATCATGTTCTTATAGGTAAAAAAATAATTACACTAAATTTCAGGAGCCGCTTAAAACGGCTACAGTAAACTGCACTTACATTCTGTGATGATCCGAAGTGTTCTCCAGCTAACTGAAGAAGATGAGTGATACTTATAGTTCCTCGGTTCTCCACATCACACACCTCAAACACTTGTCGGAGTTGGTTCACAAACTCCTCAGACACCGCCATTTTTACATTACATGGCTATTATTGACACTTAGAAACTTTCCTTAGCACGAATAAATATGGAGTACGAGAGGCGCGCCACAGCGGGAGCGGAGGAGCGACGCACACCCTCCCTCCCTCACGCTCACACCAACACTGACTTCTTATCTTCACTCTACACACGGCTTCCAATTTATGACAGAAGTCTTTCTTTATTATGCTTAGCTATCATAATATTACTTTTCCATAATTAAACGTGTGATCTTTATATAGATGAACATCTATTTGGCAAAATATTTTCAACTCTCCCTCTCGACAACCTTCCCAGGCACATCATTATATGACCTTCATAATAATTTTGGGTAACGAATCGCGTGCAAAATATATTTAAGAGATCTGGGAAGTAGATTCTTAGTAGAAGTGATAAACTAACGTTGGGAATATATTTCTGTGCTTAATATTTTCTTTTTTTTTATAAAAAAATAAACATCTTGACCACGAAGGTTAGTCAGCCATCCTGTCTTCACGGTCACTGTCAAAACAACGCTTATACCAATAAGTGCAGAGATGTACTTACAACTCTTATAGACGTCAAAATATGAGATGGAGGATTAGATTGCTTACAGATTTAAGCTGATTCTAAGTATTAGAGATCAAAGGAGAAAGAATAAAGGAACATACCTACACAACGCACGAACAACAGGAAAGGATATGCTGGGGTTGCTTCATACCTTTGAAATGCTACGCCCCTCAAGGAAGGCTCCTTGACGCTGGTGAGGGGCTCTTGATCTAGGGAATTGGATCTGTGCTCCAGTTGGATCTGTGCTCCAGTTCCCTGAATTAAGCCTGAATGCCTTCCATCCCCCCATAGGCGCTGTATAATCCTACGGGTTTAGTGCTTCCCCCTTGATTATAATAATAATGAAATGCTACGCTTGTTATTTATGCTGTGAGGGAAGATGGATTGTTACACCAGCAAGAGGAGGCTTAGTGTATCCGGAAACAAACGTGCCGACACAATACTTAACATATTATGCTCACGATTAGGGTATCTTATCTAAGCATACATACCAAGCCATGCACTTGCACACACTGAAAATTGATATAAATGAACATAATTTTTAAAGGGGTGGACCGGTAAGCCAGCGGAAGGCCTCGGTCAGATGACCAAAAGCTCCAAAGGCGGGTCATCATCTGACTTTTGTCCTGTTTCCTGACGAACCTAACCTAACTTGCACACACTCTATTATACACCCACACACACACTGACCTGACCACAAGGTCCAGAGGGTATTCGCTGGGGTAACAATGTAAACATCAATACAAAAGAAAGAAGCGGTCTTGGGGAAATTAAAACAAAACAGAAGGAAAATAAAACGTTTCCAAGGAAGTTAGACACGATGAAAGTGACCAAACCAAATATCACTAGGCACTAAGAGAAGAAGCAGAGGCAATGCACAGCCTCTCAACAAGAACCTTCAATAAGTCATATTAGACATATGGCAACTACAAACAATAAAAAAC